GATTCTTTTGCAAATAAGCATAGACTGGGGAGGAATCGAACCGTTTTCGTTTATATCCAGACGCCACATGCTATCCACTACACCACGAGTCCTTGTAGTCTTAGTGCCAAAGAACAGTGCGGGAGCACTTCTGCTGTGTATCTGCCTTTAAGACGACATGCGCCTTTCTTTTCTTTACCTTCCCATAGGCAGTGTATACATTTTTGTGTTGGCTTCTTCTTTCGCGGTTTCTTCGTTATATATTCGTTTCCGCAAGGGGCATCTGGACTTTACGACTTCTTATGAATAGGTCACTTTTCAGTACCGTAACTTAATCAAAATACCAGATAAATTATCATTTCTTTTGCGAATACCCAGAAAAAGCCGATGAAAATCAAAAAGTTCCTACTGTATGCGACGGCGCTGGGCATTAGCGAATGGTGCAACACATAGGTAAGCGCTACAGTTGCTGAATGGAACACTGGGGTTGATAGCGTAGTGAATAACACGTTACAATGCCGCGGATCCAGAAATAGAGGAAATGAGCTCGGCTTCCACCTGCTTCAAAACCTGTACAGAAGAAAGGCTCCGTTCATAGCAGCGTTCTCCCATAATTTCCATTCATCAGTTTTTTATTTTCAGGCTCAGTATGACGATTACGTGCCAAAGCTGTACGAGCAGCTCAGCGGCTAATTCGCTCAGTTATTTCACACTGTGTTAAGAGTAATATTTTCAGCTGTTCTTTGTTACGCTCAAATTTCACTCGAATAAACGCTTACGCATCATGCAGTATGAACCGAACAAATGCGCAGCCTCCATTCCACGTGTCCACCACATTCAAAGGTACACAAAAAGTCAGACATTTTTTGTTTATTTTTGTTTTTTTCGCATTTCTTTTTCCCACACCGCATATACGAGAATTATGCATTCTTTTTGCAGCAAACACGCTGACTGGGACCACGCAGTAATAAGTAGCGTTAATCTGCTGTAATTCGAGGGTCTGCCAGTGGGCCAGTAGATATTTCTAAGATTCGTTCATTCGTTTCGAAGATGAATTTGATAAATGATAGAGGTCAAAGTCATCATCAGCTTGTTTCTAAGCGATCCTCGGAAAGGGAACCATCGACTGCCTTATCAGAAGGGATTTTTGTTGAAACGTGCCGCTTGGGTTACTTTTGACTACTGCTGCCTTTTGCAGAGAGTGAATTATGGGAGACGTTTTGGCTGTTGGCACCATTTCTAATTATAGGATTACCCGGCATGTTCGTTTATATAAGCAGGTTAAAGCCGGAAGAGGACTCGGAATATTGAATTTCCTGGCTTTTTCATGGTACTGGCTGGGATTTAAATATTCGGACTGACGTTATTGACGTTTAGCTTCATCACATCCAGAGAAATTTTCGCAACATGTAATACTGGAGTGTCGCGGTAGTCACACAGTAAGCCAGTAAGAACAGATAACAAACAGAATAAAGTCACTGCCGCGGCAGGCAGCATCGTTAGGTAGCACATACACACATAAATTGCCGTTTGGGGCACGAGGGCCGGTGGTGTAATGGATAGCACGTCACGAATGCAGACAGTGAAAAAGAGTGGTTCGATTCCTCTTCGGCCCACACTCATTTTGCAAAAAGGGACTCCGTTCGCAGTAAGAAAAAGAAAAAGAAAAAATGCTCCTGGCCTATTTCCCAGCGCAAATCTTTGCAAACCGAATCGCTTCTAAAACGAATTTTCGCCAGAACTATAAGCAACAAATTCCCTTCCCCTATGCCGTAGCTGCAAAATAAGTCAAAGGTTACATCATAGATCTGGACAGAACTAACGTGAAAACAGCCCAGTGTCAAATGATTGCACAGACGCATCTCATACTTTGGTAGTTTGTTGAGCTGTCTTTTCATCGTAAGCGTACATTAGTGTTTCATTCTTCTTGCGTTGATGTTACCGAGGCTGCATCACCTCAGACCAGTTACACTTACATCAGTCACCAAAGATCTGGAAGTGGGGAAAGAGAAAGGGTCTACATCTTGAAATTACCTGATCGCAGATTTTAACAAGGAAATTTGGATGCCGGTTCCGCTAGGCCTTCAGAGATCGGCATCCTAGTAATTTCAGCTTTCTGTCTGCTTCTTCTAACAGTCACAAACGAAGCCTTTTTTACAACAAAATGTGACCCGGAAGGGAATCGAACCACTCATTTTCATTGTATCCTGAACATGCAATTTACATTTTTCCCCGTTCTACCGGTTTTTGCGAGACTTCCTTAACATGAAAAGTTAGAAAGCTGAAATTTTTACAGAAAGTCTCCTGTCCGAGTACCACGTAGTTGCACAATTAATTTCCTGAAATCGATTAACTTCCTGCTTCGTGTCAAAAAGTCTGATTTGGAGCTCCCTTGCCTCAAAAATGAGGAAATTCCAAAGCACTCTGTCTGAATCACTCCTCTCTCATTTGCATGTCAAACATGCACGGCGTCGTATTCCTCCACTTGCTCATCGTCAGCATCGATTAAAAGCACGGCAATCAACTACTGGAACTTGGCTCGGCATTCGGGGGTTGCGAGCGTGCATGGCATTGTATTCGAAGGTGCGCTGGGTCTCGACTGGAGTGCTCGGATACGGTAGTTCACCAGTGACGTCACATCCGGCGTACGTCATTTCTGGCGTGTTCGCGTGTACGGGTGGTAGGCTTGGACGACGGTTACCGGATGGACCCCCCGGACATGCGGGGTACTCTCTGGCTGCGGGGACCGGAGGGGCGGGTGCCCCCCTCCCGAATGCCGAGTGTGATACCTCGAAATGTCATCGTGCCGAGGCAGCCAGCTGGTGTATTGAATTTGTGAATGTGCAGTGGCCGGCCTGTTTGCTCGCGCCCGCATAAATGTGTCGCTGCGCCGCATGGTTTATATGGTTTACGTCACTTTGACACATGGTTATGTCACCTTGACGTTTGGTCTCTAGCGCTCATGGCTCTGTGCGGGAAACCGTGGTGCACCACTTTTTTCGTAGCAGCTGGTTCGAAAAAAGTGGTGAGGAGTGAGTGTGTGTGTATTGA